ATATATATATATATATATATATATATATATATATATATATATATATATATATATATATATAAAAGATCCGTTGATAATTCATAGTTTCGTAACAACCTGAAAACTAAAGGTGTAGCGCTAGATTAAAATTCATAGTTTCCTAACAACCTGAAAACTAAAGGTGTAACGCTAGATTAAAATTAACTCATTAAGAGCATAACCGTCATTTTACAAATCTCATTTAATATTTAATTTTTGTGTTATTTGAAATATTAATAAAATGTCTAAAAATCAACATAATAAATCAAATTTTTGGATTTTTTTTATAAAAATAATAATTTTTGATTTTTTTTAAAAAAATGCAAATTTTTTAATTTTTTTAGAAAACATGAAATGATTTTTTAATAATACATCATTTTTTTTAAAACAGTAAATTTTTAAAAATCAAACAATTTTATAAAAAAAAAACTGGAATTAAAAAAAAACTATAATTATCAACCAAAAAAATTAACATTTTAGGTGTATATATGCATATTTTTTCAAATACGAATATGCATATTTCTTATACTATAAGATTCGTAAGTAACCATAAAAAAAAATTAAAAAAAAATTATTTTTACTTACTAATCTATAAACACAATAGTATTAGTATTTTATTTGATACAAAATAAAATATAAAAAACAAACAATGCTACAAAATTTGAAAGCGTTTTCATGCTTTCGTGTCAAAATTTTCATATTTTTTTCAATTTATCATTTTCACCACTTCAATATTTTTCATAAATTCTTCCAAATCTACAAGAAAAATTAAAAAAAAATGATTAATGCAAGAACACTCACAAAAATGCATATGTGTATATCATGTAAGATTTACATGTGATTATATCATGAAGATTCACATGTGATTATATCATGAAGATTCACATGTGATTATATAATATGATATTCACATGCGATTGTATCGTTTAATATTTAAATGTGAAATTCACAAGAAAATTAAAAAAACAATTAACGAAGAACACTCACACAAAATGCATGTGTGCATATAGATGTAATTTAAATGTGATCCACTTGTGATTTACATGTGAATCACATGTAATTCATATGTGATTTACTTGTGAATTATATGTGATTCATATGTGAATTACATGTGATTTACATGTGAATCACATGTAATTCATATGTGAATTACATGTGAATTGCATGTGATTTACATGTGAATCACATGTCATTCATATGTGAATTACATGTGACTCACATGTAATTCATACGAAAACAACCAATATGAGTTATATTAAGAAAGAAAATGGAGATCAAAGATTCAAATCTACTTTCAAAGTTATAAACCAAGTTTAAATAAGATATTAGAAGCCAAGAGAATACAACATGACTCACCATAAGTTGATTTTTAGTAGAAAGTCGTCAACTGCTACTCTCACCGAACAAAAGTACCTTGTATAGTGCTATAGGATCCTGCATAATTTTCAACCAAACCAACAATTGACTAGCAAATCGGATTAAATATATAAGTAACAAGAAACATGATAAAATTTATATTGAAACTATATGAGTAAAAAATGACAATGCAATGCTATAATTAGGTAAATCTTTAAATGTATAATAATACCTTAATAAAAGAAAATGAAATTACAATGCTTCGATAAAAAGAATGAGAGCATGATATGTTATAATACACAAATAAATAAAAGTATGTTGCTATTTCTTGCATTTTCCCCTTGTGTAATCTTACTCTCACATTCCCATAAAAACTGTTGCATTTCACTTTATCAAAAGTTTCTCAAAGGCAAAGTTACCCTTTTACCCGTTAGGCCATTATCATCTTTTCAAGCTTAATCAATGGTATTGATCTATCTATACAAGATTCATTTAGTTGCATTTCACTTGTTTGTATTTCGTTTTCTCTATTACAACATTATACATTCAGTTCTTTTTTATCTTATTATAGCAGTGAAAATTGCTTTGTATTTGAATTATAGCAGTTCTTTTTTATCTTATTATAGCAGTGAAAATTGCTTAGTGACTTCCCCTAAAATACCCCACGCGGACAATAAACAAACATGAACATTGGGCTCACTGACTATGTTAGGAATACCCTTACAAGGTCCTCAACATAAGTCTAGATTGCCCTCGAGCCCACAACATGAGTCTGGAATGCCCTTCCCGGCCCTCAGCCAATGTCTGGAATGCTCCCAAGCCCTTAGCATGAGTCTGGAATACCCCTATAGGGTCCTCAACCCATGTCTAGAATGCTCCCGGTATCTTGGGCTTCAGCACAAAGCAGAATAACCTCAACCTGAAAACCGCACTATGTCGACATATGCAATAGATAAACATAAACATATAACCAGCAAGTACAGGTAATCATACAGATCTACCAATCTAATAGATTGCTACCGTATAGAAACATCCTATACACAAGGATACATAACACAATTTAGTAGGCCGGCATTGGTGCCTTCGGCCCACGAGTACAGTGACGAAAATTCACCTCACAGTCTGAAATATAGCTAAACAGATCACTACTCTAAATTCCAACTCTACCGGTTACCTATACAACAAACAGGGACCCAAATCTCAAACTACTATTCAATTACCCAATATGTCTTTAGGTCAAACTTGGTCAAATTCCTGGTCAAAGGTCAAAGTAAAAAAGTCAAAGGGGTCAACAATGATTGAGTACGCCGTACATACTCATTCACTACGCTCAGCGTAGTAGATCCCTCCCTGGTTATGGGGCTCCAGTCTGGTACTCACAACGTACCACCAATTACGTCCAACGTACTCGACCAGTACCATTTTTCCTTCTTTAAGTGCTTATTCCATTAAGATCTCACGTCCAAAGCTCAAATGTAGTCCCAAATAACATTCTAAGTCATAAAGTTTCCAACTTTTTGACTTTCCATGGCTCAAAGGAGTCCAAACACCAAAACCAAAGGGACTAAATACATAATCAAAGCATCATAACTCTTGTATGGAGGGAAGAAAGGGACCAAGATCACATTTTATAACACCCCGATTCCTGGGTGTGGAACTTGAGGATTTATTGCAAATTGAAGGGCCTACTCGACAAGTTGGTTGGCCCCAACTCGTCGTGTAGGAGTTGATCAGGATGCATGGGTTAGGAAGCCTACTCGTCAAGTTGAAGGGTTGGACTCGACGAGTTGAGGTTATGTGATAAAACCCTAATTTCTCGGATGTGTAACCTATTTAAAGGACATTAAGCCCTTTACCCCGCCTCCCTTACCACCTTTCATGTCCAGAGAGTAACCCTAGCGAGCTAAGTGTGTGTGAGGCCAAAAGTGTGTTTTTGGTGCATTCCTTGAAGAGGCTTGAGGACTTAGAGGCTTGGAACGAGAGAAATCTTGTAGATCCAGCATCTACATCGTGTTGGCATCTAGTGGGAGGTGAAAAGTCTTTACCTTGGCTTTCCATTCCTTAGATCTCTTCTTATGTGAGTTTATGGGCTTTTTGGTGCGAAATGAGGGTCATTCTCAGGTTAAGCTTGTCCAAAGGGTATAAGTTTCAGATCTGGACTTCTCTTGGCCCCATGTACATAAAGCCTCAAGCTTTATGAAGTTTTGACCCGTCTTCATGAC